CTGAACATGGAATCTCAGGATTGATGTTACACTGATTTAGATGTATATTCTTTAATCAGGTTTGGTACAGTAATNCAGCTCTAAGGGATTGGCTGAAGGATCATGCTAATGAAACAGAACTGGAGAAACTCAAATGGGATTACTTCTTGATCAACAAATGTCCATGGTGAGTATCATCTAACTGGCTTTGTTCTAACATCTAAGCTCTTGGTGTAGAATTTAACAATGTGTTTGTTACTAAAAGTTGCAAAAGATGTTGGAAATCATCAAGTACTTTACAATGCTTTTCTATAGCTTGAAGAAGCTGCTGCATAGCAAAGCTGAAGCATTCCTCTCAAATGAGTACTATGAGTCAGACATCGCATGTATGGACTTGGTAACTCTTCTCTGCCCATTTATGGTCTTTCAGTCCTTTGTATTATCTCTGGTTATTTTAATAGTCTGCAATTTCGTGTTTCCGTTATTATCAGTCTCACCATAGTTTTGAGTCTCTTTGCTTCCTCTAATCATTTTTGTAGGATTCAAAGTTGGATATTACCATTGGTCCATATGAGACGTACGAGGATGAAATCTTTGGGTACAAGGTAAGAATTTATATAAATCTGCTTATGCTGATGCTCACACTCCGAAATTTAAATCATCCCTATAATATTAAAGCAGAGTACATTTAGCAAACTGTGTATATGTTGCTGAGTTTGCATCTATGTTAATAGATCTATGATTTCTGATTAGGTTTTGTATATTATCACATGTGAGAGATGCGGTGTATATGTGTATGGATAGCTTGTGATACCGTAAAATTGATGATGCAGGAGCTGATAAATTTCACGCTTCACTACATTGCAGACTTGGATATTCCAATCAAAAGGTACGTGTACATATGAAGATCAATATTTAGTCTCTATCATGTTTTAATTAATTTAGGAGATCTTCTAAATATAAATTTTTTGACTTCTTGAAATTTATATACACAGGGTAACATTTACAGAATTCCGAAATGGAATGCTCAATGTGTCACCTATTGGTCGCAACTGCAGCCAAGAAGAAAGAGATGAATTTGAGAGATATGATAAGGTAATGGAAACTATTTAGTTTTTTCAGTTTCTTATAGAGATCAATTCTGAGAATTGTTTAGTGATATCATTCAACATTTTCTCTTGAAAAGGTTCAAAACATTCGCCCGAAGATGGTGGCTGAACTTCGTGAGCGGTTTGCGCATCTTAACCTTACTTTCTCAATTGGTGGACAGATTAGCTTTGATGTGAGTAGGAATCAAAATATNGATTAAAACAATTTCNTATATCCAATTTTAGAGTTACTTAGTCTACTTCCATTGTTTATGACCCAGGTCTTCCCTAAAGGTTGGGATAAGACTTACTGCTTGCAAGAAGAAAGAGATGAATTTGAGAGATATGATAAGGTAATGGAAACTATTTAGTTTTTCAGTTTCTTATAGAGATCAATTCTGAGAATTGTTTAGTGATATCATTCAACATTTTCTCTTGAAAAGGTTCAAAACATTCGCCCGAAGATGGTGGCTGAACTTCGTGAGCGGTTTGCGCATCTTAACCTTACTTTCTCAATTGGTGGACAGATTAGCTTTGATGTGAGTAGGAATCAAAATATNGATTAAAACAATTTCNTATATCCAATTTTAGAGTTACTTAGTCTACTTCCATTGTTTATGACCCAGGTCTTCCCTAAAGGTTGGGATAAGACTTACTGCTTGCAATACCTTGAGGACTTCAATGAAATCCATTTCTTCGGTGACAAAACCTATGAGGTAAGAAAACTGAACTTGCATATCCAAATCTCACAAGTAGTTCTTGTATGGGTTTCTGTTGAGCTTGATGGGTAAAAACATGGCTTTAACTTCTGTAGGGTGGAAATGATTATGAAATCTATGAATCACCAAAAACAATTGGCCACTCAGGTTAGTTAGTTTCGATATATTATCGGTTAATCTCCGTGTGTTTGTGTTGGTGACATTTTCATGACAAAATTAGGTTTGTTTCTTTTGTGTTGCAGTTACGAGTCCTTTTTCAATTTCTCTAATCGGTTAGTACTTAACATCATTGCTGGATCTCGCTTTTCCATTTTTCTTCTTCGATTGATGATTTATACATGGTTGAACAGTGAGTGTCCCTGAGTCGATGATCGCGTGTTATCGACCTATTTCTACCTTGTGATTTGCTTTGTTTGGGTCTTTGACCGAGTTGCTTTGTTGGGTTTTTTCTTTCGCTCTGAGATCTTCAGTTTGTTTGCTTTTCGTTTATGAATCGCTTCTCTGGTGCTCTGATTTGCAGATTTGTTAGCTTGGATTTGGGTTTTTTTTTTTCGTCTCACACATTTTGGTCTTTGAATCGTTCTTCCCTATTTGCTTTCAAAGATAGCTCTTGAATTTGTGTATAATCTTCAAAATGATGAAGAATCTGTATCTTTTTTTGGCGAATTCGATATAATCTGAGTTTTATTGTGTTATTATCAACTCTCCATCTAAAGAATCTTGAAACTTATGTATAATTATGTCATGGTGTGTCNTGCACNCTCTATCATCAGAGATCTACACTTCTTGAAGCTTAAAGTGGCAATTCTTTTGTAGATTTGTTCTCTCATATATTCTTTGAGAGATAACCAAAAGAGGTTCATGTGCTTTTGTATCTTTCATTGCTTTTCTCTGTGTGTTTGTCACGGGTTCCAACTGCTACATCCTTTGTGTATCTGTCATGGGTTCTAAAATGTGATGCTGTCTCAATTGTGGTTGCACAGGTTGCATCACAACCAAAGAGCTGGGAACAGTTATGCGTTCTCTAGGGCAGAACCCAACTGAGGCAGAGCTACAAGACATGATCAATGAGGTTGATGCAGATGGTAACGGCACGATCGACTTTCCCGAGTTCTTGAACCTGATGGCTAAGAAGATGAAGGACACTGACTCAAAGGAAGAGCTCAAAGAAGCTTTCAGGGTTTTCGACAAAGACCAGAACGGTTTCATCTCGGCTGCTGAGCTTCGCCATGTGATGACTAATCTTGGGGAGAAACTAACTGATGAGGAAGTTGAAGAGATGATCCGTGAAGCTGATGTTGATGGAGATGGTCAGATAAACTATGAGCAGTTTGTCAAGATTATGATGGCTAAGTGATCGAAGAATGGTAATGATGATGACGTTTTATTATGTTTCTAGGAGTTTAACCAAGAACATTTGCATGATTGATGCAATTTTGAAAAGTCTGAGAATAAGAAAACCAAAGACAACCACGTTAATTTCTCCCCTGAAAAAATGGTATGTAAACCATAGTTTTCTCTTAATTCTCAAATTTAATTTCATTTAGACTATGTAAGTACCTGCGCTCGTGATTTTTTTAATATAAGTTTTAAGTAAATAATAGAACTAATTGATGTTTAGGTCATCACCTAAAAACCCAAAATTAGGTAAATCACATTTTATTTAGAAATACATAATGGTGAAGAATTTTTAAATATATGGAACATAAATGAGAATTCAGATAATGAAAAAGAAAATATATAACTATAACTATGTTTGACATTTGGAAAAAAAAAAAAACTATGTTTGACATATGATAATATGATATATGCATTCGATCTCTCTGTATATTAGTACCATGAGTTTTGTATATACAACAATTAAGTATTTTGTTTCTTAATATCGACCACGGTTACGTTCTAATGTCTCCTGTGCAATTTTCAAGGTCCAAAAATACATTTTCATAGATATTTGGATTGATTTGTACTATAAGCAAGTGTATAATTAATGCATAAATGTTTCTAATAAGTCCAAATTATCAGTCATTTTTTAAGGTCTCAATTAAACTTTCACATAAGTGCCATATCCATATGGTTTATCGAAGATATGATTCTAGATATTGATTTTTTTAGTTAAATTTGATGTCATACACTTTTTTTGTTGGTCGAAAATATTTCATTTCATTAAATCGGTCTAAAACCGAGGTTGATTGTTACATTGGTTAAGGCATTCTTTGCAATAGAATCAGCCTTCTCAGTTGATGTCATACACAAACCGAAAGAAATTGCGGAACAAGTTTTGTGTATTCTTGGAATATAGTTTACAACATATACAACGAATGTTCCGTGATATTCTTGGAACAAGTTTTGTGTATCAAGAGCGATTACCAATACCAAGCAAACACAAATGTTTTAGAGTTTTAAATGTTAATATCTTGACCATAAGAAGAGTTAAAGCATAACAATTTTTTTTTATAAACTGGTATTTTAATACATGGATTGAACACAACAACACATGGTCTCTATACTATTAAAACCATGTGATTTCCTTAACAATAATAAGAACTTCCATATTCAGATTTTCGTATTTGCATTTAATTATTCATATAATTAGAATAATTTTTTCTATGAATCTGAGTTTTTTACG